AAAAGAGAGAGAACGGCCATCTCCCCCACCGAACGGGCATCCGAAGGCCCCTAATTCCATTCCAACACCCCTGAACTTCAAAATCAGACCCACCAGCGAACCTCTCCACCCTTCAAAATTCGATCGCCGCTGCACACTACCGTAAAGAACAGAGCCGCTGCTCCCTTCCCTTCTTCTCAAAAAAGAACAAAAAAAACACACACACACACACAGTCATAAACAGAGGAGCACAGACAGAAGAAGACGGAGGAACAGGAAAATCAAGAATGAGTTCAAAAAAAACGCAGCCATGAATCTCCATCTTATTCTACCATTTTTCTTCCATATATAAACTCATAGCATTATTTGTCTCTAGAAAAACAGTTTCAAAATCAGATTTGGTTTCACTCTTTGAACCTCTGTTTTGAGGTTTCTTGCTCCGTGGTTTTGTTCGAGTGTTCCGGTCAGCAAGTTTGGTCGACAGTCCCTGTCCTTGGTTCAAGTCCCGGCCTAATTCTGTCATTAGATCACCATTTCAGGTCTATCTCTCATCTTTCTTGATGCTTTGTTAGGATGGTATGGTGTTAATGGTTATGTGAAGATTTAGAGTTTGTGGCTTGCATTTCATTCTGTGTTCATCATTCTGCGATGCTTAACTTCATTTTGAATGCTTTCTATTATGTCATTGATCTTGTTTTGGTCGTGCCTATTTATTAATACCATGAATCTGATCCTAAACATTAGTTTGATATAATATTAGTGGGAGAATTGAACTTGGGGTTTGTTGGTTTAAAATTGGGTTTGGTTAATACTGAGAAGGAATTTGAGCTTAAGAAAGAATTTGTTATTCTCGTTTTATTTCTCTTTAGTCACTCGGGCCGCTAGGAATATGCTTAGGCCGACCACACTTGTGTAGGCAAGCCTTAGGATTTTTGTTAGTTTTGAGGCGAGAGGTCGTTCCTTTAGTTTAATTTATCCGGGGAATGCCCCGAAGGATTTGTACATATTTTATTCCGGGAAATGCCCAGTAGTATCATGTATTTGGAAGCCATGACGAAGCTGTGGAACAATATAGTACATATTAGTATTTAGGATTTTACTTTATTTCTTTTTTCTATTTTCTTTTATTAGGTGGGGACAACCTCGAGCCTCTTTGTGTTTACTTTCCTTTTTTATGTGTTTTTACCTTAAATTGAATATTTTAAAAGCCAACTAGATCGAGTACGTAACCGTGACATTCACGGGACTTGGGGAGTGCCTCACACCTTCTCCCCGAGTCAAATGAACCCCCTTGCCTAAAATCTCTGGTGCAGACTTAGTTTTGGAGTACAAAGTGTTTTAAAAGGAAAAATCATTTTTTTTTAAAAACAGTGACCTGGCACACCGAAACCAATGTCAGGTACCGACTCTGAGTTAATCCTTTTGAACACAATTCTTTGTCACTTTTCATAATTTTGAAAACCCTTTTGAGCTTCAAAATCACTTTTATTTATTTAAGAGGGTTAGTGAGGTGGAAAAAAAGGGATGTGACAACTATCTCTAGGTTTAACCCTTTAATTGGGGCTATCAATTTCTTGAGTTCACCCCAGTTCCTTGTTAGCCTAGTTTTCCTATGACGAAGATTTTGACCTTGTTGGCCCAAAACGGTAGCATGGTCTTCTATTTATCGAGTAATTCTCCACCCGCGGTCATCAGCTCCGCGGGCTATCGCCCTATCTAAGCAGCTTTCCCCTCACCTCTACGGAAGTAATCTTTTAATCTATTTCAGTTCCTGTGTCTGTCGCTATCGCCCTATTCTCTCTCAATTGCCTATCCTTTCTAGATGAGGGGGAGACCCTTAGCAGTAGCTTCCAACACTTAAGATTGACCTCCTTAAGTGGCTTGGTTTACTTTGGTTTGAATGTAAACTAAAATAAGCGGCGTTTATTCAAACAAAGGGAACCGAAGGTTTCCTTGTTTAGTAGTACGAAAGTAGTTCTACTATTAAGATGTCTAATATTAATAGTACTTGGTCGTATGGAAGGGGTTGCCGGCGAGAGAAGCTACTTGGGAGAAAGAAAGAGACTTGTTGTGGCAATTCCGATACCAAGTCCAAGCATACTTGGGGAGTGCTTGCGCCGAGGACGTCGCAACAACTCTTTCTCAAGTAGAGACTAAGTCATAAAGGCTTGAATCGGTGCTTGCAACCACTAATTCCATAGTTCTAGCAAGAACTAGGCTAAGTACTACTAACTGATACACATTCAAGTCCTATAATTCAAGACCCATCAAATACCCACACTAGGGTTGGGTCACAACCCTAGCTATGGGTTTAGCAACTCATAGAAATAGCAGAAATCAAAGATGAAATAAAGATAAAATTCATAATACTAGATTAAAAGATGAAAATCTAATGTTGAAAGCTAATTCTAATACAAAATTGCTCAAATGGAATTTCCATCTGTCTCACGTGCTCAGCAAAAACAAAACTTGACCTTAAAATGTCAAAAAGATCTATTTATACTAAGCTGAAATTTCCGGATAAAAATACCCCTACAGAGGTTTCGTGGCTGCGTAATTCTTACCACGGCCGCACTCTTGCTTTCGCGGACGCATACTGCTGATCGCGGTCTGCGTTCTTAACTTCTGGATCTGGGCTGAGTTTTGTTTCGCAAGCCACATAATTTTCATCGCGGCCGCCTAGTGGATTTTTGCGGCCGCGTTAAACTACTGCGAACCGCACTCCTTATTTTTGCTTGAAATGTGAACTCTCTGAATCTCAGCCACCGTGGTCTGCATAATTCCAACCGCGGCCGCGATGAGACTTTCGCGGCCGCATATTTCTGGCGCGGACCTCGCTCAACATTTGGCCTAAAATGCACTCTCTGATTCTTCACTTTGCGGGTCGGGTATTTGTAATCGCGGCCGCGTTGTGACTTCTGCGGCCGCACAATATTTGTGCGGTCCGCGTTTCAGATTTCCTGGCCCAGTCTTGGTTTTTGTTTCAGATTTGACTCCTTTATGAGTTGATTATGCCTCGTTTGGCTCATTTTGATCAATTCCTGCAAGCAAGCATATTACATTAGTTTTCGGGAATACCTTCACGCATTTTAGGCCCAAAACGCAAGTAAAAGAGAGCAAATAATAGGTTAAAATCCCCACTTATCATTTATCCATTGATTATTACACCTAGTTTATGTGAATTTGAAGTGAAGCTTGGGGATTTTATACTATGGTACTAGAGAGTGAGATTTGGTGATTTAAGGGTCGATTTGTGAATAGAATTGGATGAAATTAGTATGGTTGGATTCGTAATTGAATGGGCGTTTAGAATTGGTGAGTTTGGTCGTGTTTCAAGGTGTGGGCTTGGGGTTGACCTTTTGGGTTTGCTTTGTCTTTTGGAATCATTTCCTATGGCTTTTATCAAAGAAATTAAGTTATTTTGGCTAGATTCGGATCGTCGGGAGGTTGATTCGCAGGAGAACGGCTTCTTAGAGTACTGATTTGACTTGCTTGAGGTAAGTATCTTACCTAAACTTGGTTGAGGCACTAGTTGCCTGAATTATTTGTTAGCTATGTGCTATGAGTGGCGCATATGTGTGGGGTTAAGCCCATATTCGTGTACCGGGGTACTATTTTCATGCCCGGGGTAGCACTTAGGCTATGATATGCCTTGAATTGACTGCTAAGCTCAAGCTGTGATGTTTCTTTTATTTATACCCCTCTGTGACTTGCTTCTACTACATGTTATTCTTGCAATTGAACCTGATAAACTATCGTTTCGTAATGAAATTGTTTGCTAGCCATGATAGCACACATTACACATGCCTACATCATAGCATGCTATTTATACCAGTCAAGGAGTATAAAACTTGATAATAATTAATCATGTACATGTATTCTCTTATATTTGATTTCTCTGTGTTATGATCTAGACTGGTAGCATGTGATTATGTCGGGCGGATTTTGATTATTGGCACATGTGTTGTTTGTGCTATTGGTATTATTGGCACGTGAGTTGTCCGTGCGAATTCAGATATTGATATTATTGGCACGTGAGTTGTCTGTACAGCATGTGAGTTGTCAGTGCAATTGATATTATTAGCATGTGAGTTGTCCGTGCAGCGTGTGGATATGGACTCATCCCCTAGGGTCACCCTTTCATGTTTCTCTCTTGATGGTGTGCACGCGAATTTGAGAATACTGATTAGTGGTTTGATATGGAAATTGAGGATAATCTGGCCAGTGTTTGTTTGAATTTTGCATTCCATCTTTACTTGCAATTTTTGTGGTTATTTACCAGATTTATTTCCGTATCATCCTTGTATGCCGTATCATTTACTAAGCATAGTGCTTGAGTAATTATGCATACACAGATAGTTCTTTCTGTGCTTCATACTTTATCACATTATTATTTTATACTTGTTGAATTTATGAACCTGTACAGGTTATAGAATGTATCATTTATAATTCTTGCTTCTTTTATCTCGCCGAAGTTAGTTATGACACTTGCTGAGTACATTGGGTCGGCTGTACTCATGTTACAGTCTGCACTTAATTATGAAAATCCAGGTGCCGGGACGAGTCATCAGTAGTGGAGTTGCTTGTTGAGCTAGGTATCGAGAGATGAGGTAGAGCTGCATTCTCGTCCGCAGTCTTGGCATCTATTTTCTTATGTTCTGTTGTCTTTATTTCAGACAACATTATATTTGTCTTGTACTTCTGTAGTAGAGCTCGTGAATTGTATTTACCAGTTCTGAAAAATTTACCATGTATTGGCTTTACTATTGCTATATTAAGGTTTCAGGCTTATGTTATTTTTGTAAATTCCGCTATTTTGATTCTTTATTGTTATGTACAGCTTGCCTAGCAAATATATTAGGCGTCATCACGACTGATTGGATTTTGGATCGTCACAATATACCTCATTAATATATGCTATTACGTTTATTCTACTCATATTTGGAAAGCAGGCGAAATAAAATTGGTTAAACACTGAGACAGCGCAGACTGCAGAGGTTGTTTCCTTCCTTTCCAGAAAAATCCACACATAATGCCCCACTCACATTCCAACAACTACAAAAAAAAATGATTTCAAAATGCAAATTGCATAACATAAATGCCAATCAGTAAATTCGAATCTTTGGGAATGATACAATTACACTAAGCATGTGAGGTAATGCTAAAATAGGAATTTAGAAAAACATCTCTAATTGTTTTTACTCTATCTAATTGGGAAACAAACAATGGGGTATATAAAAATAAGGTAAAGTAGGCAATTGCGAAAGTTTCTTCATAACCACATGCCGTTTGGTTTGACTAAAAACCACATGTACATGGTTGCAACATTAACGAAATGTCTGGTTGCCAAGGGAAAGGACCAGCTGCTCGAGGTGGATCTATAAATTAAAGTCCATGGACGTAAGTAGGTCTGGGCATAATTTGGTAAATACCGAATTAATGTACCGAAACTGAAAATTTTGGTATTTGGTATACGGTATTTTGGTATTTGGTATTGTATTTGGTTTAAGTTTTTAAAAAAATTAGTATTAGGTATGGTATTTGATATTTTAAGATAAAATACCGAAATATCGATATTGTACCGAAATATATATTATATTACACAAAACATATATTATCAATTATAACATAAATATAAAAAATCTAAAATCTTACTTTCCTTTATTCTCAAAGTTCATCAATTAACTCTAATCAAGTAACACGACATTTCTAATGATCAAATATTCTTCTATGTACAATTTTCTCTATTTGGGTCGATATTTGCTAGTTTTGGACAAAACTTCTGTCAACAAATAATATTCAGTTTTGTATTTTTGAGTACTTTAATTAATAATATTAGAGTGTATGGTTCTATGCACTAGTTAATATTCAAATCGAATAAATCGAAGTTACCGAACCGAATATACCGAAACCGAAAGGAGAAAAACTGAACCATATCGAATTTAATTAGGTACGGTATTGGTATAGAATTTTAAGAAACTGAATACTAAAAATACCGAACCGAAATATCTAAATACCGTACCGTATCGACCGACGAACACCCCTGCACGTAAGGCACTATTATGTTAACTATTAATAGTAAAAATGAATTTGACTTTATAATAAATATCCATTTTAAATTATATTTCATACACACATATACACATACGACAACCTGTTTAGCCGCTATTACAAATCTTACAACTCACAACTATCTATGACAACCTGGATGCTACTTTCTGCCACAAGGACTTGAATCATCCATATGACAAAATACCATTTGAATTTGAATTATCATTTTCCTGGTGCTCTAGACGTTTTATCAAAAGTAATTTACGCAACCAAAATGAATTAGAATTGCTTCAAAGACCGACAAAACTAACCAATGAAGTAGCTACTACGTGTGCTTATGGTGACTGCGTACATATAAAGAATATTCACACTGAAATATCATTTTTGGCACGAATTAATTGCTATTTGGTGGACATATATAATGGATATTTCGAGAAAGAAATGTTTGAACATAATGGTTGAAACCACATGTCAATATCAACACCCACTACAAGCTCCAGCTATTCAATGGAATTTCCCATGTGTTGCACTTGGAATTTACTTTGCTTTTGCTTTTTCACTTAAGGCCCAAAGACAATAAAGTTCCAAAAGGACAAGTTGCACAAGGCAAGTATATACTCCCTCCGTTTTAATTTATGTGAACCCATTTAACTGGGCACGAGTTTAAGAAAAGAAAGAAAATTTTTGAACTTATGCTGTAAAATGAGGCACATATATTTTGTATGGCTATAAATCATTGCAAAAAGGTAAATTGTTTCCAAATAGGGAAAGGGGTCATTCTTTTTGGCACGAACTAAAAAGGAAATAGGTTCACATAAATTGAAATGGAGGGAGTATATTTTATGAGATTTCATATTTTATAAGCCCCATATGAGCTGGACGACTCTTTCCCTCAACACTACTCTCCTTTTCTCCAAATCATTGTCAACCCCCCTAATCATGTCCTCTAATAACTTACTAGCCACACTAATAAATACATTTAAGGGGGAAAAAAAAGGAGAATAACGTAACAATTACATAACTATAAAATATTACTCCCTTCGTTTAAATTTATTATGTGAATCCATTTGACTGGGCACGGAGTTTAATAAAAGAGAGAAGATTTTTGAACTGGTGATGTAAAATGAGGCACATATATTTTGTGTGGTCATAAAGATAAATTATTTTCAAGCAAAAGTGAATCATTCTTTTTGGCACAGACTAAAAAAAAAAAATAGATTTACATAAATTGCAACGGGAAGTATATCTCAATTATCACTTTTTAATGTGTTAACTAATTAACACTAAACACTGAATGGGTTTCCGAAAATTTCTTATTTTTCTAACACATCAAGTATCTGAAATAAATTTAATTTGTCAAAAATAACCAATATTTGAGAATAGAAGGAATATCAACTAGTAATAAAGAGGGATGAAAGCAACAGTAGAGTATAATGTGTGTATATATACTTAGAGAAAAGACAATATCATCCACGTAATTGAATTTGCCCGTTGTACTTGGCTTTTTCTCATACCGGCCGAAATTGCACCTTAATTAATGAACATTAGTTACTAAACAATAAAAACTTATATGATATGATATGTGTCTTGCATATAGACTTCAATAATTTAACTATAGTAAATTACATATATTCTCATCTAATTAAATTAATTAACCATAGTGAGTTAATATAATTTGGTGTAAACACCCAATAAGGTAAGTATTTACCTTACTAAACAGATGAAGCAAACAATTAGAAACACAATAGAAAGAACAACAAAGTTGTTATTCCTTTTCTCAATATGTCCGTACATACAAATCCAATGAATCCCCCAAAAAATTTCCAATCAATGGAACCACCAACAAATTCTAATCCCCACCAAAAGATTAAATCATCAAAATTTCAATTATGACCCACTAATTTCCTCTTTCAACTAATCAATCTGTACATTGCTACCAAAGAATCACCCAATAAAAGAAAACACAAAAAAATATAAAGAATCCGAATTGATGAAGTTTTTACTTGGTTCTGCTGATTGGCTTGTACAAATCATAAGGTTCCCAAAGATAATCCAACGGACACGGTTTCTTTTCATCGAGCCGAACCCACGGCTTCCCTTTCCCACTCCAATGCAACAAGCTGACTGGACCAGGGTGCAGTGACCTACACGAGCCCTTCACATTATCCCCACCAAGCCCATGTTGGTTCCATTTATGATCAATTGGCTCAACATTTCCACCAAAAACCAACAGAAATGGTGGCAATGAACCCAGCTCATAAATTCTTGTCCTTTTCTGTAATTTCATCCAACTCTCTATCTTCATTCTGTAATTACCTTCCCTCCATTTCTCCAAATCCATCACCATTACGCCCGTATTGAAGTAACACGGGTTTCTTGACCCGAATACCCGGGGAAAAATCGGGTCGGACCAGAACGAGTCTGTGAAGTACTTGGTGAAATTCGCGTGGCAGTATTCGGGTGCTCCGATGACCCGTGACCCGGTAAGCTGAACATTCCAAAGCTTGTGAACATCGTCCACGAGGATTACATCGGAGTCTAAGTAAATGACCCGGTTCACACACGGGTCAAGTATATCACCCAGGTAATTCCGGGCGTAGTTTAACGGGTTCTCGAGTGCTATTCGGATCGAAGATGAGATGAGACTTAATACACTGTCTTCTCTGAAAACGTACACTTGAAAGTTGAGAGAAGGGAAGATGGATTTCACGAGTCGGATCAGGACCCGCGGGTTAGATTCCGGATCGAATTCAGCTGATATGAAGTGGAAGAACACGTGCTCTGGACACGACGCGTGGCGGAGGACTGAGTGTACAGCCGCCATTGATCCTCGTAGGTACTCCGAGTCAAGCGTCATCGCTACGTGAACCAAAGACGGGTCACAATACGACATCGTTTCAGCTTGTTCTGTTACTGGACAAGCCGCTCCATTCCTGTAATCCGGTGCCTCTGTAAATCCGAACAATCTGTGACTGTTAACTGGACGAATCGCAATACACACAAAAGGAAAAAGCCCAAGAATCAAGAGGCAAACAAGTCCTGTGACTGAATGAAACAAATTCATATCTGGGTTTTTCGATTTTGAGAGTGTTAAGTTGTGTGTGTATATATATAATGGGGGCTACTGATACAGCATTGTAGAGGTGAGGAAGGAAGGAATAATAGGTGGACAAGTAGCTGGAAAAGGAGATGACCAAAGAATGGTCAATAAACAACCGTGTATATACATATTAAAGAATCGTCAATGGTAAAAGAATAACTCAAATTGATTTTGTTACCATGTAGAGAGAGAGAAGGGATATTTGCGTTGCTGTTTGCCGTCACTTTCTACTGTAAATTTTGGAAGGTATGGGCAGTTTTATAGATGACGGGCTAATGCGAAACTACTTTGTTTATAAAGTAAAAAACTGTGAGCGTGTGATTCAGTTGGATGAGTGCTTACTGCTTAGCCTAGGGGAAGAATAGATTATGGGTTATTAATTTATTTTGCGCTAATATACGTGGAGATTCATCTATAATTAAACGTCGGAAAAAAAAAATACTCTCTCTCTTCCAATTTATACGAACTTGTTTGTTTGGTCACGAAGTTTAAGAAAAGGTGAAGATTTTTAGAATTTGTGATCCTAAATAAGTCAAAAAGGGATTCAGAGTATTTGTGTGATTATAAATGCTTCTAATTAAGGGTAGAGTAGGAAGTTTAAGCTAAATTATTTCCAAATTTAGAAAGAAGTCATATTTTTTGGAATGGATCAAAAAAGAAATAAGTTCACATAAATTGGAATAGAGGGAGTATAAATTTAAGAAAAGGGTTTTAGCAGTTGGTGTAGTTATTCTAGGGTTAATAGATGGAGGCATCTTAGTAAAAGCACATACTTGGAAGTTTGTTACTCCCTCCGGTCTAAAATAAGTGGTTTTTTGGAGGTTTTCACATAGATTAAGAAATCTACCTTTTAGCATTAATTAGCAATGAAATTGACCATATTAACCTTTACCATCTCACATAAACACTCCTAACACATATTCCAATACTATTTACTCCAAGGACAGTGTAGGAAAAAAATAATTAATTCACTCTTGAAATCTGGAAAAATCACTTATTTTGGACCACAAGAAAAAAGCCAAAAAATCACTTATTTTGGACCGGAGGGAGTATCAATTTAGGGTGGATTTTGTTGGTATTCCTTTAGTTGGTATTTTTGTGGTTGGTAGTTAGCTGAGTATTTTACAATTAAATCCATTTTCTTCTACGTAATAAACCTATTAGGTGTCATTAAATTTCACAATGGTTATATGGAGAATATAATGGAAAAATTATTTATGCTATAATAATGAACTGTTATACGTAGAAAAATACTTGAAGCACCGTTATGCGTAAAATAACAAGAATATCATATAGTGATTATAAAATTATCTCAATAATATTATGTAGCGCGTAATTAATTAATTGCTTCAAGGTATTTTATTTTGAAATATTTTTGCTTATGTCTTGCTAATATGTACTTCCATATAACTTAATGTAGGTATTATTTCATATCACCAACCAAATATTACATTAGTTATGGAGGAATTATTTTTCATGCACAACAAACCAATCATTGTGGGAGTACTACTTTGATAGCCAAATTGAATTGGAGAGTTAACTTCGGACCAAAAAAACAAAAAATTGAACAGTTAACTCTTGGAATCAAATACATGAAAAGAAACTCGTAATATTAATGTTTAAGGCCTATGATTTAAATCAAAAGATTTTCCATCACCGCATTCGTAACCTAAATTGGATAAATAGACCAAGGAGAACAAAGTCCAGAAAAGAAGAAACACTATCCCAACCAACTAGAGGCGGAGTCAGGATTTGAACCTTATGGGTTCGATATTTAATTCCTTTAAGTCACTGGGTTCTAATTTACAAATTCAATGAATTTCTTAACATTCTGTTTGGATCATTGTTCCCATCATTTTATAATGTATTGTATTATATCGTATCGTATGAATACAATGTTTGGATAGATTGTATTGTTTGTTATTGTTAAATAATATTTTGTTGTTTGGTTTGACTGTATCGTACTGTACTGTAACTGATAAGTTTACTAAAATACCCTCAAGTGTTTAAATATTAAATTTATCAAAAATTATGCATAAAAATAATTTTAAAAAACAAAACAGAAGAGGGCAAAACATAATAAGAAAGCAAAACAAAGGAGCGAGACAGAAGAAGGCAAAACAAATGAGCACAACTAATTGGAATTGAGTTACAAGCAAATTAGGAGAAAAAATAAAATAGAAAGCAGCAAAACACCTTTAACATTGGTCTGGAAAAAAACAAAGTAGGTTATAAGTTGGAGATTTGGAGTTAAAATAAAAAAGATAAAGGGTAAAATAGAATTGTGGAGTAATAAGTTAGGGCATAATTGGAAAGAAAAATAGGAACAACCCCATCACACCAAATCGGTTGTTTCAAAAAAGGGGACTTTTTATTGTTCCGAAACAATGGATTTAACAATACAATACGATCAATTTTAATGGAACAATCAAAACAAACATTGTTTTGACATAACAATACAATACGATAATGAGGAACAACCGTCCAAACAAGCTGTAAGACGAATACAGAGTTTGAACAAAAGCTATTAGGTTCGGTCGAACCCGCATCTCACCCTGCTTTGCCCCTGCAACCAACTCAACTCGAAGATTTAAAGGTAAACATCACAGTTCAGATTAAAGTACTACTGAAGCACTCTCCATTCTGGATCTTTAAATAGTTCGTAAGCAAGAGTGATTTACCAGTCTTTAACGGGTGGGTCGAGCCGGTTTGGGTTGAGAAAAAAGGTGTCTGGTCTGTTTCCAATCCGGGCCGGTTATCGGTTTTTTCAAACCGGGCTTAAAGGGTCCGGGTCCATCCGGGTAAAAAATGAACCGGAACGGTTACGGGTCCAAGGGGCTAGGCCGGGCTGGGTTAATGTTATTTTTTTTTATATTTGTATAACTATCGTAATTTATATTAATATAAAGTAAAAATATAAAACCAAAAAACAATCTTATAAAAAGAGTGTTTGAAAAAAAAAGGATGCAAAGGCTTTAAAATCCTTATATTTGAAATTTTGAATATTTCATTAAGAATTTAAGATAATAGAATACAATGAAGATGGAAAAAAAATTGCGCTTATAATTTGCAAATGCTTTTTTTTTATTTCAAACTTACAAATTAAAGTTTACATTTAACAAGTAAATTAACGAAAAAAGAGTAAATTCAAAGATTTTGTATTGCCTTAGTAAGTTCTTCATAATCCATATGAACTTCTTGGTCATCTTCTGAAGTGTTAAATTCAGATGGGTTACCATGTGTTAATATATCTCCAAGTTCTTCGTCTTCTGGTCTATCGACATCTTCACGTCCCTGATTTCTTCGTTCCGATCTAATCTAATCTCTGAAACATACTAAAACTTCCAAAGCATTGCTTCCCAACGAGTGAGGGGTGTCTCCTAGTTGTTGTCTTGCTTGACTAAATGCACTCTCTGATGCGACAGTTGAAATTGGCACATTCAGCACATCCCGAGCTATTGCAGAAAGAACAAGAAATTACTTTTTATTCTCATGCCACCATCCCAACGGTGAAAATACCTTTGTGCGAGGCTCTTTTTGCTTTTGCAAGTAGAATTGAAATTCATCAATGTTTCTGCTACTGGTTTGAGCGGTAGGAAATGTAGACCAAATATTAAAACCATTAAGGCCTTCATCATCATCCATATTAGTAGATGCAGTAGAAGTTGTACAATGTATAGTGGGACTAACATTGCCTACATTAAGAGCACCTTCATCAACTATATTTGCATAATAATTGTATAATTATAGTAAATAATCATTTAGCTTGTTCATACAATAATATATATCTGGGGTTTCTGTTGGTCCAATCTCCATATAAGTATATAAAGCATTGATTAATTGGTGACAATCATGCATCTTAGTTGAAGGGTTTAAAACAACACCAATTAAGTAAATCGGAGGAATTGGAAAGAAATATTTTTTGAATTTTGCTTGTATTTTTTCAACAGCATCCTTATATTTTTCTTTCTTCTTAAATTCAGAGAGTAGAAAAGAAATTTCAGCTATATGTACTAAAGCCATAGTAACAATAGGATAATATGCTCCAGAAAACTCAACAGTAGCCGTATAAAATTTATGTAAAAAATTAACAACATCATTAATAGCCTCCCAAGTAGTAATTGTTAACATACGGTTTGGATCAGTACAATGCGCATTAGCAACTTCAGTTATTGGCAATCTATATTTGTAGCAACATTTTAAAAATAAGTATGTATAATTCCATCTAGTAACAATTTCATCTGGCATGAATATGGGGTTAAGGTTATGCTCGAGCACTTATTCTTAAATTTCCTTATTCTTGATTGTCTATTATTTCCTTGAATAACACCAACTATTCTTCTAACATGAGTAATCTCAGTTGAAAATAAATCAAGGCCACTTTTAACAATTAAATTATAAACATGACATGCACACCTAACATGAAAAATTTCGTCAAGTGGTGGTTGCAAATGCAGTCTTAATATTGAAATTGCGGCATTATTGTTAGAAGCATTATCAAAAGACATACACAATACTTTTTTCTTAAGATTATAAAATTCAACAACTTCTCAAATAGTAGTACTTATAAACATAGCAGTATAACTTTGATCTTCATCATATTTAAAAACGATAATACGCTTTTGCATACAATAATTATTATCTATCCAATGACACGTAATTGTCAAATAATCATTTCCATTAACAGCATGGTCAATATCAGAAGTTAGGGATACTCTACAAGGAAGGTGGTCAAACAAATAACGTATGTATGTTTGATATTGTCCATGAAGTCTAAAGATATCAGATCTACAAGTACTTCTAGGGATACCTTTAAATAAAGGATTATAAATCCTTTGAATATACATAATAAGATATGATGAAGAAACAAAAGAAAAATATAGACAACCCAAAGCAATCTTATTTTCTAACTACCCACGATCCTTCATTTCATCATATTTAATAAGTCCTCCAGTACTAGGGTTTAGTGTTCCTTGATTTTCATCTAAATCAGAGCCCCATTCTGTAGAATGAGTAATTCTCATATGTCTACTAAGTGTCCCATTCCCCTAATTGTCCTCCAGTCTTATGTTTAAAATTATTTTTACAAAGTTTGCATCTAACTCTATCATTATTCTCTATTTCGTCAAAAAAATTTCATACCTTACTTCTTTTTCCCCTATTAGTAGTCGGGGCCACAGTTGGTCTACTACTACGACCACGACCAACACCCCTGCTACCAACTCCAACACTACTAGGCG